CTGCAGAGCACAGTCTTTCCAAGACCACCCATGTGAGTGAAGAGCTGAGCACACTTAATATCATAGTTACCCCTAGAGCTTAGATTAGTGTTGTGGAGTGGACATAGGATACATCAAGTTTGGTCAAAGTCTATTAACCATGCTATTATTCAACTAAACTGCAAGGGAGGACAGGGTAATTGTCTGGATATGCATGTTAAAGATGACATCACACAAAAATGATATCGCACAAACATCACAAACCCTTTTTTAAACCCTATGTGAGACCTCACTTTATGAGAGGAAAAGATTTTATCTTCTAAAATCACAAATTAAATGTGAATTTCCAAAAGAGGGCCAGAGACACTGCTCACCATTCTCAAAACTATGAAAACCCCACTGACAGACAGGTCTCTCCAAAAGAGGCTGAAGAACTGACTGTCGCTGACACGTTTAGGCATACACTTTATAGAACACAAAGTAGCTGCAAACACCGACACCCACCTCTAGGTGAACGCAAGCTCTCTCTCTATCCCACACAAGACAAAACTGTGAGGTTGATACCGATGGACTTTTAGTGAGAATTTCTTACCCCAAGTATGGACCAAAAATCGGCCGTGATTCGCAAATGTGAAACCTCTTATTCGTTCCTTTCTCTTCCTCTGCGGTGAGATCAAGATGATTGCAGCATGAATCTTACCAGAGAGAGCAACGCAGGTTTACCATGTGATAAACCAATGATTAAAATAAGCCCAAATCCTACCGGTCTTCAGAGAACAAAGCACAAGGAAAAGAATGTGAAGTGCGCCCTCTATTGGTCAGCGTGTCTTCATTGCTGAGGTGAGTTTCATCTGCCACAGGTGAGAGTTAATTAAGAGGATCCACGCTTCACAAATTCTAAATTGTGTTGGCAAAATGCAAGAATCAAGTAGAAGCCCACTTGCGTGGACTGTGGAGTGATAAACGTGGGTTCTGATAATTCTGTGGACTCTAAGCCACACAGATCACATGGTTGGAAATTCACCACTATTTCTAAAGATCTATCTATATACATGTTAACTATTTTGTAAATGAGACAGGAATTAGATTATAGGATAAAATTTAAAGAAAAAAATGTGCATTTTCGTGTATACTTTCTTCTGATGTACATTTTATGGTGGAGAGAAGTGGAGAGGAAATTTTAATAACTCTTGTCTTTGACTAGGGGATTGCTGGCCAAGTAATTATTTACTGAACTTCAATTTGGGGATAGTGCTTCCAGTGTGCCTCATATTGTGAAGTATGCATCGGCCAAATGGCTGGAAACCAATGTTAAGAAAAATAAACCGAAAATACGAGGACTCCATTTGCAGCAGCTACTTGGAACCATGCTAATAAAACTCTACTTCCTGTTTCTTTAACCAATGCTTCTTAACCTGTTGAAGGAAAGAAATGGACTCACTCTTGAGAGTTTAGTGAAGGTTCTACATCCTCTCCCTACACCTCAAAAAGAAACAGAACATGGTTGGCTTCCTCTAATTTCAGGACCCCATCTCTGGACTCAAGTTAAGAAGTCCCGTGCAGAACGTAGGCTGGGAAACTACGTGTTAGTGATGTGCCATTAGGTGCCGTCGAGTCAGCTTCACTGAGAGAGACTCCGTGTTGAAAGGGACGTGCTGTAACACTGGGCTCAAACATAAGAACAAGTGGAAGAAGGGTGGTTGTTCTGTCTGTTGCACCTCGGGTCACTCAAGTGTTGGGCCCAACTCGACGGCACCTAACAGCAGCAGCAAACTTTATTTCATAAGCCATAAAAGTATGCTTAATACCGTTCACGGAGCTATGGGTCACTGTGCTTCGGGATGGGGCTGCTAACTGCAAGATCAGTGGTTCGAGTCCACCAGCTGCTCCTTAGGAGAAAAGCAAGCCTGCCTGCTGCTGTAAAGACTCAGTTTCTGATGCTTACAGAGAAGTTCTGCTCTGTCCTATAGGATTACAAGTTGCAATTGAATCAATGGCAGTGGATTTGGGTGGCTTTAATCTTGAATTGATTCCAACTGACTGGGACCCTATATAGGGTCTCCAAAGCTCTAAATCTTTAGGGGAATAAATAACCTCATATTTCTCCCACAGAGCAACTAGTGGGTTGGAACCCCCAATGTTAGCAGTCTGGTGCTTATCTGACAGTGCTATCAGGACAATTGAAAGGTTTCAAATAAATTGTAAAGGCTTCCTCCACCTGACTAGTTAAGGGGGAAAGCATTATTCTCTCCATTTTAAAGTAAAAATAAGAATTAATTTGTTTGGTTTTTTCTAGCCTTAGTTGGTTATTCTGATTTTATCAGCGTGGTAAAAGGTTGGAAACGGGTGGGTGTCAGATGGTGGAGAACCTCAAATATCATGTGAGAGAGGCCAGAGTTTATACACACAGACACAGGTATACATACAATCCAGATGTATACACACAGGGACATGCACACACATATATGCATACACATTAAACACATGTATGCCCTCACAAGGACCAGAAATAAAAGAGGTCCTCATAATTTATATATTTAAGAATAATAAACAAGCTTATCACACCACCACTGACAGAGTTTCAAGATCTGAAAGCATCTGTCTGTCTCTGTCATACTGTAAAGGTTTGTGTGTTGCTGTGATCAGAAAGCTTTATCACTGGTATGTTAAATGCCAGCAGGGTTACCCTAAGTGAATGAGCTTCAGTAGAGCTTCCAGATGAAGAACAGACTATAAAGAAGAAGTTGATTGTCTACACTTCAGAGCAATTAGCCACTGAAAACCCCACAAAACTAAAAAAACCAATCTCACTGTCAACATGTCCAAGCTGGCTCACAGCGACTCCCCGTGGGTCTCCAAGACCGTAACTGCAGAAATCCCAGTCTGTGTCCTGTGGAGCTGCTGGTGGCTGCAAACTGCCCACCATGTGCACTGCAGCCCAGAGCGCCTTCAAAAACCTTGTAGATAGCATCCACATATTGTCAGCTCCTGAAAATCCCATGAATGGAAGCAGAACTTTGTAAAGAGATCATGCCAGAAGATGGGGCCCTCAGGTCGGAAGATATTCAAAATGTGACCAAGGAAGCACTGCTCTCTCAAAGAAGGTCACGTAAATCAAGCCTGCAAGAGTAAATAAAGCCCGCAGCATCTTCATGAGCTAATAAGAGTGTGACTCAAAATAAGGGGGAGACAACCTGAAACGTAGATTAATTATTGGAACGTGCAATGGATGAAGTGTGACCTAGGAAAATTGAGAATCATTAAAAATGAAACTCATAAAGTTCAATATTCTTGGGATTGGTGAGCTGACCTGGATGGCTATCGGTCATTTTGGATCAGTCGATCACATGGCTTACTAGGAAATGGCACAGTCAAGAGGAACGGTATGTCACTCATCATCAAAAAGGACATTTCACGGTCTTGAAGTACCTTGCTGTCTGTTATAGGACAATGTCTATCTGCATACAAGGAAAAACAATCAATATGCAACTATTCTTCAAATCTATGCACCGGCCACTAGAGCTAATGATGAAGAAATTGAAGAATTCTACTAATGACTTCAGTTGGAAATTGATCAAACATGCAATCAAGATGCATTGCTAAGGATTGATGATAGGAATGGAAAAGTTGGAAACAAAGAGGGAGGAACAGTCGTTGGAAAATATGGACTGGGCGGTAGAAACAAAGCTGGAGATCACATGCTAGAATACTGGAAGATCAACGACTTGCTCATGACAAATACCTTTTCCAACAACACAGAGCTCAAATTAACTACATTTTTAGGAGGAGACAACGAAGAAGCTCAATATCAGCAGCTAAAACCAGGCCAGGGGACAACTGTGGAATAGACCATCAATTGCTCATCTGTAAGTTCAGATTAAAGTTGAAGAAAATTAAAACAAATCCATAAGAGCCAAATTATGCCCTTGAGTCTATCCTACCATAATTTCACGAACATCTCAAGAATAGATTCAATGCATTAAACACTAATAACAGAAGTCTTGATGAGCTGTGGGGTGTCATTGAGAACACACCAAATATGAGAAAGAAAAGGTCATTAAAAAGCTGGGAATAAAAGAAAAGATCAAAATGGTTGTCAGAAGAGACTCTGAAACTTGCTCTCAATTGTGGAGTGGCTATGGAATAAAGAGATGAAGTCAACTAGTAGCACAGACACGTTCAAAGGGCAAGTTGAAAAGATGCGATATTATAATATCATGTGCAAGGGCTTGAGTTAGAAAACCGAAAGAAGAACATGCTCTGGAACTGAGCAAAGACTCACACGCGCTGGCTTGCATGAAGAACGCAGCATCCGCACTGGAGGAAGGCTGAACACACAACCTTGCTGGCTGAAAGGGAGGAGAGCTTGCTGATGAAGATAAAGGCTGGCAGCCTTTGGATGGATTACAGCTCAATGGAAAGAGAGCCAAAATCCTCAAACCCGGACCAAGAGGACCCATCGTGATAAGGGGGAAAAGACTGAAGTTGTCAAGGATTTCATCATGCTCAGATCCACACTCAATGCTCATGGAAGCAGCAGTCAAGAGAACAAAGAGCACATGACATTGGTTAATCTGCTGCACAAGACTGTTGTTGTTGAAAACAGAGAGGCGACACACTTTGAAGACTAAGGTGTGCCTGATTCATGCCATGGTATTTGCAATCACTTCAAATGCATGTGAAAGTTGGACACTGAATAAGGCAGACCAGAGAAGAATTGATGCATTTGAATTATGGTATTAGCAAAGAATATCAAAACTACCATAGATGACCAAAAGAAAAATCAATCCTGTCTTGGAAGAAGTACATCCAGAATGCTCTTTAGAAGCAAGGATGGCGAGACATTGGTCTCATATACTTTGGACATGTTGTCCGCAGAGACCAGTTCCTGGAAAAAACACCATGCTTGAAGTAGAGGGGCTGAAAAAGAGGAAAACCCTCAACAAGATGGGCGTAGCCACAAGAACAACTGTGAGGATGATGCACACCGGGGACTGTTTGTCTTAGGGACAGACCCTGAGTGGTCCCTAACAGCAACTCAGCCTCCAGCAACTTACTATGGATCACTTTCTCAGCACGAACACAAGAGGGTCCAGAGGCGATTATCCCCCCCACCCATCCACCCACCACCCCACCCCACCCACCCCGCTTTCTTCTTAAATGAATATATACAGCAAAAGCCAATACATTCAGGAAAGACAGGCCAATTCTAGCTTCTCTCCACTTTCACTGCGTGTTCACAAGCACACTTCACTGAGCAACTTGCCTTCCTTTTTCACTCAAGTCCAGGCAGACTTCCCTCCTTCAAAACGTAGTAAAATGCCATTTGTAATTTTAGAAAGAAAAAGAAATGCAGTGCCTATTGTAAAAGTCTTTGGGCCTTGTCAGAACTCCCAGGAGAGAAGGCAAACTCATTATCATTATCAATCATCATACCTCTTCTCACGAACCCTTTTTCCAGTTCTTATGGCACCTGTCCCTCCCCAGGCACTCTCTCCTCCTTTGCTGGGTTTGATCATCCACTGCAAGGAGAACTCGGCAGCTGAGATCATGGAGTTTATTAGGGAAGCTAATCAGTGATGATTCAAGATCAGGAGAGACTCAGGAATGATTCTCTGTCCTCAGCCTCCAGGGCC